AGACAGACAGACAGACAGACAGAGACCGAGACAGAGACATAGACGAAAGACAGAGAGAGAGAGAGAGAGAGAGAGAGAGAGGGAGAAAGAGAGAGAGAGAGAGAGAGAGAGAGAGAGAGAGAGAGAGAGAGAGAGAGGGGGGGGGGTACAGGTGGGGAGAGAAGGACTATATAGTGGCCTTAAATGTTGGAACTTCATGCCCCAAGACCTAGGAGAGAAACAACAAATCCTAAAACTTTCAACTGATTGCTGAAGGATCGTTGGTAGAGAGTTTGCCACACAAGACATTGTAGAGAATGTATCACTCAATAATAATAATTATAATAATAATAATAACAACAATAATAATAATAATGATAATAATAATAATAATGATAAAAACAATAATAATAATAATAATAATAATAATAATAATAATAATAATAATAATAATAATAATAATATTAATAATAATATTAACAACAACAACAACAACAATAATAATAATAATAATAATAATAATAATAATAATAATAATAATAATAATAATAATAATAATAATAATAATTACTCCAGCAGACCCAAGACCACCCAGGAACATTCTCAGTTTCCCGGGAAGCACACAGTGCAAACTGCAGACTGCATGCAACCCAACACCAACAACAGGTAACCATAGTATGTTCCCACCTGGGTGAGATTAGCCAAATTCGTGTCAAGTCCCTTTCCCAAGGACACAATGTCGGGCCCAGACGGAATTCAAACCGGTGAACGACCTTGTGGTTGAAAGTCCAAGTGCCTGACTGCCGGAGATTTGCATTAGAATATTTGTTTCTTTTCTTTTCTTTTTGACATTATTATTATTATTATTATTATTATTATTATTATTATTATTATTATTATTATTATCATTATCATTATCATTATTATTATTATTATTATTATTATTATTATTATTATTATTATTATATACACACACACATACATACACCATACACACACACATACTACACACATACACACATACACACACATGCACACATACACACACACACATACATACACACATACACACATACACACATACACACATACACACACACACACAAACACACACCAACACACACACACACACACACACACACACACACACACACACACACACACACACACACTGTATGAGGACTGGGATTCTATCTGCTGTGATGCTGAACAAGCTATAGGCTGCAGAAAGCCCCTGTAGGCTACCTGCCCTCTAGTCGGTCGGTTGTTACGCTGTTTTTCTGTCCTGCCTGCTAGTGTAGCTGTGTTGGAAAATGTTCTTGTTTCACACCGCGAGGTACATGAAGCCAGGCATGTCCTACATCTGCTCCTAGCTTTTCGGGGAAGGCAAATAGCTTTGGAATTTTATGTATACATGTATGTATATTTAGATTATGTAAATATATGTATACATCTCCTACATCTGCTCCTAGCTTTTCGGGGAAGGCAAATAGCTTTGGAATTTTATGTATACATGTATGTATATTTAGATTATGTAAATATATGTATACATCTCCTACATCTGCTCCTAGCTTTTCGGGGAAGGCAAATAGCTTTGGAATTTTATGTATACATGTATGTATATTTAGATTATGTAAATATATGTATACATCTCCTACATCTGCTCCTAGCTTTTCGGGGAAGGCAAATAGCTTTGGAATTTTATGTATACATGTATGTATATTTAGATTATGTAAATATATGTATACATCTCCTACATCTGCTCCTAGCTTTTCGGGGAAGGCAAATAGCTTTGGAATTTTATGTATACATGTATGTATATTTAGATTATGTAAATATATGTATACATCTCCTACATCTTCTCCTAGCTTTTCGGGGAAGGCAAATAGCTTTGTAATTGTATGTATACATGTATGGTATGTATATTTAGATTATGTAAATCTATAATAATATAATATATATTATACATCTCCTACATCTTCTCCTAGCTTTTCACTGAATGCAATAGCTTAAGAATTTGTATGTATACATGTCTAAATATGTATAATTATACAACTGTACTATGTAAATATATTATGCATACACCTCCTACATCTTCTCCTAGGTTTTCAGGGAATGCAAATAGCTGTGTAATTTTGTGTGTATACATATATGTATGATATGTATATTACCGTATGTAAATATACCATTAATTCTCTTCCTTTTTCTTCTAGGTTTTCAGTGAATGCAAATAGCTTTGTAATTTTATGTATGTATATAATATAATGTAAATGTATGTATACATCTGGTACATTTTCTTTAAATAGCTTTGTAATTTTCTATTTATTTTCTATTTGTGCATATCTGCCAATTTGTCTAAAGTGGTACTCCGACAATGTATGGAAATCAGTTGAAGTTTGAGATTAGAATGGTCCACATAGGTTGGAAAATGAATAAACTTCAATAAACACTTCTTTTAATCTATTTTCATTTGATACAAACGTGTACAGACTTTGTGAACCAAGTGTTGCGGTTTTTTATAGCGTTCATTAAATGTATGTTATATACAGGGGGGGGGGGGGGGGGGGGGGCTCGTGGGTCTTAAAAGTGGGCGTGCACAATTAGGTTAAAGCTTGTTGAACATAGTGAAGGACATGGTAAATCACATGTTTTCTTCATCCTACCTGTTTGGAGAACATCTATTTGAAGAAGAAGTCTACCTTTCGTTCTTTTGCTGCAGCAAAAGTGTCCATTATTCTGTTGACGAAGTTGGGCATGCTGTCA